GACATTTTTAAGGGCTCTTTTAACCAGTTCAAATTAGTGTAACACTACGCGCTGTCATGGTGGATAACCATCCAATTACCTATTGATGTCTGATAATTAATGAGGCTTTACAGAAAAGTCTGGTGAATAGAACCATTACGTTGAGCGTAGGCACAAATTCAAAAGCAGGAAAAAGAACGTGGGTGGTTTCAAGGACTTGGGTAGAGTGGATAACGGAAAGTATAGTCGTGTCCACGGTTCGAAACTAGGTTTTGATTTTTTTAAAGTTTGCCCAGACTTCTTTAGCCTTAAAACTTTGTTCCTGTAAGCGCTCACTTCAAACCATTGTTGACGTTATTGACTTAAATGGCATATAAATTCACAAGATGCTAAAATATAACTTCCACCTTTCAAATGCTGGCGATTTGCTATAAAATCCTTTTAACCCGGCGACGCGGTTTTGTTTTGGTTTTCGCATCAGATGACTTGGTGCGATGTGTCGCTTCTACAGGATCAATCTACACTGCACAAAACTTAATGGGAGAGTAGTTGGGTTGGATGTCTTTAAGCCAGGAAGATAAACAAGGCATCTCTCTGGCCGGCACTCATCACAAACAAAACCAAGCAATGAGAATGGATAACCTCTTTGTTATGTTTGTGCCAAGACAATCAGTCATTTTTTTAAAATTTCATTTTAAGAGCTGCATTTGCCATATTTGGATATCTGGAGAGTTTTTCTACATTCGTTTCTGGTCTTGTAGTGAGTGGGCTGTACTTAGCAACTGTATCCGTTATGCCCGCTCTTACGTTCTTCATATACGCAGGCTTCACCGTGGTTCCCGCTAGTTTCACGATGTAAGTTTATTCGGTAAATAACAAATAGATCAATTGCGAATAAAACAGAAATGTAACAGGAAATGCGCATTTTCGTGCACTCACTTATAACATATGCGATTATTCTTGTTAGTAGAAAACATTTCGACTGTTTCAGTTCATGCAACATTTTACAGAGGCTTTGTGTGGTAGCCATCTTGCAGGGCAGTTCAACGGTTTTTTTGTCCTAAAGGAAAACCTCCTTTGTGCGTACCCTGTAGAAAAGCACTGGTTTGCAAGATGGCAGCTATAAACCCTGTACTCAAGGATAAGTGAATTTATATTATTAACTGGTTGCTCCAGATATACTGGCCACGGAGCAAAGAATACAGGCCGTATCAAATCAGACTGAAGCTGCGGAACGATCCGACACATTCTACTCCTTCCATTAATTAATGGTTAAGACCTGGATCACGTGGTCAAGACAACAAGTCTCTGTATTGGGGCTCAATCTGAATCGGTTGCTTAGAGTAAGGTCATTAGGATTTGCCCATTGGAAACACTAGGGCCGAGCTAGCGATGTAGCTGTAGCCGCTGGAAGCCGTTTCGTGCATCGCCTTAGTGCAAAGTACGGCAGCGTTGGCAACAGCATTACACAGTGCCGACATTTATTTTTTCTTAATTAACCGGGAGTGAAAAACATGCTTCTTCGGTCACTGAAAATCTTCCTTTATCCGCTTTCTTTTCAAAGCTTAAATTGCAATGGTTTGGGATTTGACATGATGCCAAGAGTCTAGTCAAGCTAATCATTTTGAAACCCTATATTCGGGGATAGCAGATTGCATCTAGATCTCATCAAAGCGTTACCTGGACACAAAATTAAAGGGCTATGCAAAATTATTTTTACGGAGGTTTTCTTTCCTTTTGAGTTTATTTGGTCTCAATATGTTTCACTATATTTGTGCTTTTTGGGCAAACATATCCGGCCAGTGACGGATCGACCATTTACCAAAACGGTTAGTCATCGCCCACGCACTTGGACCCAAAAAGATAAACACAGACATGCAATTGAGACTTTATCGAGAATATCTGATTGAACCAGTTGTGAGCAAAATAATAAAGAGGTCATTTGAAAATGTACTTCCCTTAAAATTAATGAGTCGAGTCCGCCACCCCTTGATCTGCAACTGTTGTACCATTAATTGGGACACATTCACAAGATACGCCACTTTTGTGATATAGAGATGACTCATTATATATTTAGAAAAATGAACCAGAACACCTTGGAGATCGGTTTTAATAATGTCCTACGTTTCAGTAAATAAGATAACAAATGAAGTTGAAAAACGAATATACACTGTGATGTATAATAACCATGCCGTGTTTGAACTCACTGTATTCAAACCTTAAAAAGTTATCTTTCAAAAAAAAGTTGAGGGAAAATCCAAAAGTTATGTGGTGTTGACCATGTGGTGTTGACCAAGCATTCAGACGCACGGACTCCTGTGAAATTTGCAATGAATCGCAGTGACCGGCTTCCATATAGGACTCTTCTGGGGTCTCAGGGTTCCCGGCCCACCGCACTTCCTCCCTGCCCATCCATTTAACCCCTAAAAGGGTTCGAGCGACCATGCAAGGGAGGAAACGAGACAAATCCCTAAAAGCCGTGGCCGCCGGGTGGGCCATCGTACGTCTCGAACCTGTACTAAGGCGCTCGCCTGGACCATATATAGAGGAAGGACACAGAAGGAGTTGCAACTCTGGCACTTCATTCAAAGTGTTCAATGATCGTCGCCTCCGAGTCAAACGAATAATAGAAAAGATTCCAAAAATGCCTGGTTACTGCCTGCAGATTAGACGGACAAGCGGGGCCATTAACATCCTAGCAATACTGCCTCGTAGTATTTTGCTTGCAATTAAATAGAAATTGTTCCTTTGACCAGGAAATAGAGAGAAAAATTCCTGATATTAGACCTACTTTTACCATCTGAAATAAACGTTTCCAAGGTTGATACACTGTTCAAAAATCCATGCAAAGTTTGTAATTTAATTATCCTTCCTCAAGTACATCAGTTTTCAAAGACTTGGTACAAATTTGGCTTAGACTGGCCAACAAAATATTCACTACTACTGGAAAGCTGAATTCATAAGGAACAAAATGCGCTATTTCATCACAGAGACTGTCATAAAATCTCGTAAAATACGCTTTTGTGCAAATGCCATAATAAAAATTATTCAAACAAAGCACAAAATATTGTTAAAATGGGGCTATTTATTCCCAAAATGATTCCAGAAGCTTGCGTTCATTAGGGGCAACGACTGCACATGTGCATTTGGGGCACTCGGCGTAATGCAAACAACTGCGCAAGTACTACATTTGACGTTGTTATGAGATCATACCCAGCACCAACAATGCATGAATATTCAGTTTCCTATACCTCAGTACACAAAGTTTTACCAGCGAAAAATTGGGGCGGCAATCATAGGGTACACAGGTGTTTTGTGGTTGTGAAGCAGATGGTGCGTAGCGAGGGCTCGCTGCGCTCTGGCTATGGACATACTGGACATGCCAAAAAGCGGTCAGATGTTATAGCCCGGACAGTTCAAACTCCTTCTGTGTCCTTCCTCTATGAGCCAAGGTACTGTTGGTACTTGATGAGAGCGAATTAAAGTCATTTATAGATACTGAATGCCATCAAGCACGGACAAAACAAAAAGTCACCTCTGGGATTCGGGCCCACCGTCTAAACCATTTGAAAGCGACGAGCTACACCACGCAGCCTTGTCAACGAAGCTGCTTTCCTTCCTGCACGGTGAAATGAAGGCGAAAAGAAAGTTAACTGTTGCAGCATGCTGCTGCGTAAGACTGAGTTGTTTAAATCAAATGCTGCTTGTGTTTAGATTTTCATTTCGCGCTCTTTCGTATGAATTATATGTTAGCTTCTGTATTGGTATTAACAGGACGTGTGTAGATGCTGGTCCTGGTCCACGTCCGGACACCTGTCTGGTTGTCTAAATTCCTTCATAGTTCAGTGTGTGAATGACGTTTCGTTAGAGGGCCATCTCCTTCGTTTTCTTTCCTGACATGAAATGGTGGCTGGACAGTGGATACAGGGAAGTATATCTCGGGCAAATGCTAACATAAAAAAAGAAGTATATCTCGGGCAAATGCTAACATAAAAAAAAAGAAAATTAAAAAAACAGTGGCGTCTGGAAATTTGTCAAAATTATGCAGAGTTTTCCTTGACCTTGCCAATTTTGTACGTTTTAGTATTCTTAGCTAATTATGCAATTATTGAAATCTGTGATTGTCAGTACAAGTTCACGCTCTAAAGAACAGATGGTAAAATTTCACTCCTCAACGCAATTAGCCTTTCAGAAGTATCGCAGACACAATAGAAGGGCGCTATTTGAAGTGGTAAATTTGGAGCAAAACCAAGATTTTGCCCAAACCAAAGAGCGCCCTCCTATTGTGTCCGCCAAACCTCTGAAGGGCAAATTAAATTCAATTTGCCATGTCGTCTTAGTTTTCTTCAGCTACCCACAAATTGTATGTGGTTTGCTTCTTATACCTAAAAATAAAGTCATATTAAATTATGTGTTCAGACTTGGAGGAGTATAGAGAGTACTGGCAAAATCAGGGGCATTTGCCCATTAAAAAGAAACAAGTTTTCGACGTCAGAGCAAAACCAGAACATGTTAAAAATGAAATCCATGACAAACGCAAATTAGTGTTTCATTTCAGATTAGTAGGTTCAATTTCCCTATGCCAGTTTTAGAAAATTTTGCAGTTTTTTGGTTTTTAAAAGTTGACTTTGCATTTTCATGAGCAAAAGTGTGACATCATCTAGGGAAGAAAGCTCACTGTTGCGGGTAGTTTAGCAGAATTTGACAGAATCATATATATTTTCCTCGTAAATTGTTGTTTCTGCTCATGACGGTACGGTAGTGATGGAAATTTTTTGCATACCGAACAACGGCTACAAGCATTATTTGGCACTGTACAAGGTTTATCCACAACGAACACATGGCTAGGGTTCCCCTCGTTTTCTCAGAATAACGTAATCTTCATTCAGAATTCGCATCTTGGCATGAACAGAAAAAAAAAACTTTTCAGCTTGTTATAGTTGAGACAAATCATTTCATGACATTGCATTCGACTTGGATGCTTCCATATTTATTTGAACAGATAAAATCAGAGAAACATGTTTTCCTTAGAGGTGCTCTTTAAAACTTTAATAAAACAAATCCTCAGTGTGACCAACTCTATAGTTTAATAGTTTAACGTGACAATGCTCTAAATGCAGTGAAATCTGTATAATACACCACAGAAGTTGACTGAGGGAAACTTTTTCACAAAAATAATTTGTAAACTTTGATTTCTTAAAACCAAACAGTTTTCATTTTAAATTTGTATCTTTTTCGAAGATACACGAACTTCTTAACAAAGTACATGTACTCATGGTTTTTCTTTGTACGCACGCAAACTTCCACTCTTTACACGGTGTGTTTTGTTTCTGCCTCCTTGGCATATGACCTTGCAAAGTCCACCTGCATCACTTCAGCAATGAAAGTTTCTCAGTATGACATTAATTTCGGATGAATCATTTTAATATCAATAAAAACGTAATCAGAATACCCACAAGGGTGGATCGAAACCCAATTTTTCAGGGAAGCAAAAATTGGTGAATATATGTAACTTTTTTATGGTCCTTCTGAGGGGTCAGACTAAATGTGGAGGCTTTTTACATGCTTTGAGAAATGAAACTAACTCCAAATAATTCACACAAATACAAAAACAGCCCCCATTGTCCCACCCCAGATTCACCAGTGCATGATCAATGCTGGCTTACTACAACCACATCTACGGCATTAGTTCAGGATGCACCATAAAGGCTACTGCCACTGATGGAAACTTTTCTCTGACGCGGGGTAAAACTTGTACTTTTTTGTTATTTTTGGTGATGAAAATGATAAACCCCACCCTCAAATAAACCTGGCATTGCCAATGTGAACATACATAGAGTATGTAGTTACAATGAGGTTTAACCCAAACATTAATCGAGTCGATCGAACAGCATAGTGTTTTCATGTAGTATTTTGCTTATTGTCACTGGCCTGTAATTTTAATGCAATGTTGTTTTGAAATTTTAAGTGTTTTGAACTGTCATTAATGGCTTGCCCAAAATGTATAGTAATTAAAAAATGAACTGATTTTAAAATTCCACGGGTGCCTTCCTTGACTATTGTGACATTGCGCAAGTGCATATGACTATAAGAATATAAGCTGATGGAACTGGGAAGATGACATCCAAACAGACTTTAGTCCCCATGTATGGTGCATTACCAGGATTTTTCCTACGGGGAATGGCTCACGGAAAAATCAAAAGGGATGGGGGACTCGACATTCTTCAATGTTTGGTACACTCTAAAGAAAGCTGAGGCCAGGACAAGTTCACACAAACCAAATCTAGTGGTTAGAATACAGGTTCACAGCTCGGGTCAACAAGATCAACCCTTCCAAAATCAACTGATATTGGATCGTGAAAGAGATGAGGCACTGTTTTAGTTGTTCACTCAGTTTACAAGTGGAAAGCAACTTTGGATGATCAGACGACATTGCTTCATGATAAGCTGGTGATCACATTAAAGAAATGAAACACTTCATCACTGTCGTATACTGCAACCTCGGTGTTGCATTTACTGCAGCGCACTGGGTGGTAGTGTTCTTGTTGACTGGTCGCCGATGAGGGCACCGCTCCTTCGGCCTCATCAGTTTTGACCAGCTGCCTCTTGTGGCCTTTCTTCCTCCCCTTCTTCCGCTGCCTTGCCTTCTCCGGGATGGTGTAGATCAGGCGCTCGGAACGGACGATGGTGCAGTTCAGCACGAACATGGCTCGGTACTGGTGGGTGTACAGCTCATGCCGCTGGCAGTCCAGACAAAGTGTGGTCAAGCAGGCTGGGCAGTTGAGCACCGCATCGCTCTTTGGGATGACCGGTGTCTCCTCCTTACCCGCAGCTGCACTCGTACTCACACTGTCCTCCGGACAATCCCTGTTACCCGCCTGTGGAGCTGATGACTCCTGCTTGGTCTGGTGCGGATAGTAACGACTACGCTGCCTGTCAACCCATTCCTGATTCCGGTCATCTATCTCTGGATCGTACAATAACTCATCATTGGTGAAGACTCGGTGCTTCCCTGGAGTTTTTTTGTCTGCCAAGGTAACACAAGTAATAGTATTTATCACTTATTAGAAATACTGGTAAAGGTGTCTCTATGGACATGTGTACATGTACATGAGTACTCTGCTTAGTTGATCACTCTGAGTGGCTTGAGGTTGCTGAACTTCAGTTTTTAAAATGGTATCCGACCTGCATCGGCATTTGACCATTCTAAGAGCACTGTTCATACATACTGCACTGATCCAGTAGTATAACAGCACATTACAGCCACTATTACTACATCAAAACAAACAAGCTACATGCATGTGCATGCATGCTGAACGTTGATTGTTTAAAAGTTAACTACAAAATTCTTAGGTAGGTTCATAGATTACAGCATACACATTTATCATACACACACATATATTGCAAATAACACCCTATTCATTATGGCATGCTAGAGTAGCAAGTTACTTTGAGATCTTAGGAGTGACATCATTCAAATCTTCACAATTAATTGGTTCAGTGCGGCTTTGGTGTACCAGTCTGAACTTTGTGAGTCCGGCAATTTTCACGTATGATTTTCATGCTGACATGTAAATGTAACAGAGATTGAGCTCTTCTTTTCTTAAGTCTTCAAATAGGTCATGGATCCATGGCACAGTCACAAGTAGGCTTGGACGGTATTGCATTTTTAATACCATGATATTCACGATAAAAATACCACGATATTCACCAATACCGCGATATTCTTTGGGGATATTCAGTGTACGTCATCAAAAAGCAGCAGTGATAAGTACTGACATTCACTGGGAATGCGAACAACTGAATGTACAGCTAGCGTGATAGTTGTTGTCAACATGGCAAAACCCCCCAAACTTAAAAATACTATCATTTTTCAGTCCATTTATTTATTTTCAAATAGCAAGTCAGCTGCGCAACGTCTTATCTCTGTGCTGTAAGTGATGCTGCAGACGTGATACTGGATGACTTGTACCAAAAGAATGGAATGAAATATGATGATATGGTGATTTTTCCATTATTTTCAAACACTTTTGCAATTATTTCAAGCCTATCAGCAATACCACAGGATTGGAATTCTATACCAGTATGTTAGTATAATACCTCACAAGTCAGTACTGTTTGGTAAAAAAAAGCACACCACTATTCCATAATATCGAAATACCGTCCAAGCCTAGTCACTAAGCAGCAATTTTGGGGGCCAAAGTATGCGTAACTCAGGAAAGTATTAGGTGTTGTAACCTTTTACACCAGGGATGCTTAAAAAAATTATGTATATCTTTAGCTCACAAAACCCACAAATTCTTTGATTGTCACTTGTTATTGTGAACAAGTTACAGCACACTGTGCTCCATCTCACATGGTGGCAACAATCTTTGTACGCAGAGAATGGCAGGTGCACTATCGAGTCAGTATAATAGAGACCAGTTAAAACCCTACGGCAATTTGCCAGTCAATTTCTTACTCCTTTGGGATGAGTTGGCTTTGTTGGCAGCGGCAGCTTCTTCAGTCTCGTCATCAGAATCAAAGTAGATGTCATTGTAGAACTCATCTGCAATTTGACTCTCCGTGTTGGCTGGCTGGCCACTGGACTGCACATCAGCCGGACCACTGCCGGACGCCCGATGGGACATGGCACTCTCAGCTGCATTAAGAGTTAGAATGAAGTGGGTGTATCACAACAGGAGAGAAAAACAGGTTATAAACCACACAATCTGAAATAAACTTTCTGGCAGTAAAGGAAATAGAAATCGTCAGCTGCTGACAAGTAGAGCCTTAAGGCATTCCTCCCCGCCCAGTTTTAACAATGCAAACAGGTGACTTAATCACGCTTTTATGCCAGGCAGCAGAACTCCCTGGTATCATGCATCCTAGACAAAATAAAAGCTACTTCATGACGACGCCATACATCTACATGTATATATGCCATAGCGGGGAGATTGTAATGTCTTATGATCGCCAGTAATGCCCAATGCAATCAACCAGTTGCAGGTCTCAAGATGCAGCACACTAAATGGATGAGCAATCTAACAAACCAGCTCACCAGCTGAGGCAAACTGCTGTTCATGCTGTCTCATGGTCTCAGCCAATTCCCTCTCCATCTCCTTCTCAAACTCATCTTCGCTGGAGGACATCTCCAGGCTGCCGCGACTCAGGCTGCGTGTCAGCCGCCGCTTCTGCTGCGGCGTGCCATGCAGGAGAATGTCTAGCTCATCATCGGAACTGCAAAAACATTTATCCAAACATTGTTTTTGAATTAAATATCAACAAGTGCAAATTGATAAAAAAATCTTATCATTCAGTTGCTAAACTATGTTCTATGAGCATATTTTCAAGGTGCAAGGAGTCAACTTAAAAGCAATTAATGCCCCAAACTACATGTAAGGCAGAATATATTTATTCTTTCACTTTTTTCCTAACTTTTGTGGTGTGTGATTTCACTGGGACTATTAACCCTAGGGCCCAACGGTCCTCAATCCTCTAATTTCTATATAATTTTGCATACACCCTAGGGGGTTAGGGTTAAGGACAATAGATCACAAAAAAGAGGGAACATCAGTTGGACTTCCAGCCTCCTAGCTGTTAAGTAGGGAACAGACTCAATTTTGAAACTTTTGTGGGAATTTGAAACAAGAAAAACAGCCATGTCACGCAGATATCAACTTAAGGCTGACAATTACAGCAGCACAAGTCAGCTGGCCACTGAATGGTGTAGGGTCGAACTTGTTGAAGGATCTTGTCTCTCCTCCAACATGTCCAAATCACTTGTCGCGCTTGTACATGTACATGTTGTAAGCCTGTGCTTACTTGGGCCGACATAATGTAGGCACCGATAGTTGCATGTATCTGGTTATGGCACATTTCAATTGTGATAAAACCATCTAGGCCTAGCCTATAGGCCTTTACGTACACCCACAGTCATGACAGCACATGCATGTACATGTACAGGTTGTCAACGTGTTCACTTGCCGTACTTGTGCAATACATAAGGAGGATTGTATAATAGCGGGCCCCCAGTTTTTTGTCATTTTAATCTTGTAATACTGGTCAGCCCCTCAAAAAAACAAAAGGCAATGCTCTCTTTATTGCAATTACCATGTTTTGGAAATTGAAACCTTAAATTGTGAGAAAATGTCACTTTCTCACTGATAACCCAGCCAAATGCAAATCCGAATCCACCATATTCTATGTTATGTGTCAAAACATGGTTCCTCTCATAATTTCCCTCAAAGTTCAAAACCCTGCCCTCTTTCACGTTATTTCTTCAGTTACTGCGCATGATGTAATAGTCATCTACAAAAGTGAATCTGTTACGTCCCAACTATAGCATCAGTCCTAACTACAGTTAGGCCCATCCTAACTATAGGTGGGCCCGTCCCAACTAGAGTGCTACAGTTGGGCCGGCCCAACTACAGCAGAGAGGTCCTGTGTGCATGATGTGCCCAGCATACGTGTGCCAAAGTCATATTGTTTACAAATGTCATGTTACTGGTCATAGGGCTAGATGAACAGATGAAGTGCCACATTTTAGATGAATTGTGTCAAGTATGAGACACATTGACTTGGATAATGTTGAAACATTTCCCACAGACATTGGTCAATGCTAGTTGGGCCAGCCTAACTGCAGCACTACAGTTGGGACCGTCTCAACTATATACATATAGTTGGGACTTATACTATAGTTGGGGCGAAACAAATCCAAAAGTGTAAATGTACATGTAGGTCTCCCTTTAGTTCTAATAATATCACAGGAACGGGGCCCCCAAATACACAACTTGAACTTACTTGGCAGTGATGAACTGGTAGTTTGGTCACGATTATGTGATTATAATACAGTCGAATCTCGTTATTAAGAGGTCCTTAGGAAATTACCTTGTAACAACAGGAACCTTGTATTATAAGAAATTAAAACGATAAAAAACAAAGGATTGGGACCTCAATTTCCTTGTTATAAGCAGGATGTTCTATTAAGTGCTCTAGTCTTTAATACTATAGCCTAGGCCCTACAGTGTATGTACATTCATGTACAAACTACAATAGTGTACGCCGTTCAAATCAAGTCCTACCTGTCTCTTCCATGAATTTCTTGGTCGCTGTCCTCTTCGATGTAGTCATACTGGCAGAAACCCTTGGGTCGCTCAGTGAACACGCTCATTTCTTGGTGATTCTACTTACGGAACAAATTGGAGTTGAGAAAGAAACAACTTCAATTTGAGACGAACTAAACCGATATTTACAAGTTAACTAGTAGTAGTAGTACATGTAAGTAGCAATAGCATGCATACCGCACGGCAAACCAAAAGCACGTCGGCGTGACGTTTAGGAACACTGTGCTGAGGCCAGAAGTACCCCCTCAGTCGGCAGTCAAGAAAGAACTATTGTGGGATGGAGAGTACCTTTGACGAGACATGAGGTGCAAAAATACTTTGCCCAGTGGAGTAGCATTAATGAGGGGAGGCACCTCCCTAATACGTTGCAACAAGTGCCCATTTTCCCCTTAAATTGCCGTTTTCTAGGATAATAAGGGTTTCGTATGAAAAAGCAACTTGTAGAAAAAAATCAACGGCCCTTCCCGCTTGATTTTAGGCCCGGGCCTAAACTGTGAGAACAAATTAGTACATGATGTAATCGAATTTAGTCGTTTGTGGGAAGAATCAGTAAAGGTTGGTCGCGTGAAGAACTGGTCGTCCATTCGGGACAGACATGACAGACCTTCAAGTGATGGAAAATGCACCTTTGTGAAATGAATTCAAAATGCCATTGGATTACCTAGTTCGAGTCAGTCAATTACTTGCTCCTCAAGTTAGTACGGCATCGCGATTCATGTTTTAAATCTCTTCCGTTTATTTTTTCCCTGTATTCCATGATGGCACATCTGCCATATTTTTATGCATAACTGGTAAGCTCTAAAGGTTTTCAAATGTACATGTAACCTGTGATCACAGCGGCAGAGCTTGCACGCAGGAAGAGCCGAATACCCACGTTTGGTACGGTACTGCAGTTGTGGGGCTACTGCCAAATTTATGTAAAAAATGAAGAGATAGGGAAAAGGTATAACCAAGCCGAAAGCAGCAAAACAAGCTGCAAATATCTGCTATCAATCAATGAAAATGGATCTTAAACTTGTCCCCCAAATGGAAGTGCACTATTGAAATTCTCATTGTCATGTGGTGATCTTGAGAGAACAAGAGCTTTAATTACCCGATTGGTTAAAATAAAGAGGACCTCCTCATGGAAAAAACTAAAGGCAAAGTTCTTTTTCCTCGATTCAGTGATTTTGTTTTTTATTATTTTCCAAATACTTATAAAAGAAAATAAAGTATCATTTAAAAGAACTGCATATCATTGTATACATGAATAAAAAAAGAAAAATGAAAGACTGAGATTGCAATTAGAACAGGCACCAGTGTTAAAATTGCTATTTATATTTTGTGATGCACATGTCAGCTACTTTTAATGTTCAGAAAGATGATAGGTTGAGTTTTGCATAGCAAGATTTATCAAACAGACTTAACGCCATGCTTTGTTTACATGTGCGTTTTCCTATGGCAACGATGTGGGACTAGATGCATACAGTCCAGTAGGAAACTGTACATGTACATTGAAACACAGTGCGATGCCATTATAATTTAAGTCTACTGTTTGCTGTTGTTTACAAATAATGAAAACATTGATGCAATGCTGAATTTTATTATTCAACTACATCTACCTTCCCCTACAATAGTCGACATGACAACTCATCTGACATGTCTAATGTTGAGAAATAACCCAATCACATTTTGAAAATTACACCGTAATATTTGTAACAGCTTTGTTTTCATTTATATTTCTTTTGTCTGACCTGATTCTAATCAGAGTCAAATTCAATAATAGTATTTTCTCTGTCTTTTGAAACTTGAGAAAGAGCAAAACTGTACATAAAAAGGACAAGCCAAATCCACAGCATTTGATTTTTTAAAAAATGAAAGAAAAGTTGAAGTAAAAGAACACTATTGTCAGAATGCATTATTACGGGTGTAAATAAAACCTTGGGACACTGGACATACACTGTTTCCAGTTACATGGCAATGCCAAACTGGAAGTTACCAACTAGACTGGACTTCACTGCAATGCTAATAGCCCACACCATTTGAACACTTCAAGTCTGGCCTAACAACCTTTTCTCTCTCACTTCCCAAGGGGTTCAGAGAGTAAAGAATGATTGACAGTGAAACTAGTAAGACAGATATGGCTGTTGAGATCTCGACAGCTGTTCCTAGGAGGAACTTGCTCAAGACTGCAATAATAATCATCTCTATGGCGACCGCAAACTTCTTCAAGACGGAGTTCAACTTGTGGAGAAATACACCGGTTACCAAACCCGCTGTCACATTGTTGGTAACTATGAGGATGACCATCGGCTGAAACATGGACCTCATGCTGGATGTAGTCAGCATGGCTGGGCTTAGTCTGCCCATGGCAATCATCAAGGCCACGCTGCAGAGGCTGGTGTCGGTGTACATGAAAACGCTTTGGAGCCAGAAGTCCACCTGACTGCTGTAGCTCTTCAGGAGGTACTCATTGTAGACGCTGGCAAAGGAAGAGCACAGGACCTGGAGGAGGATGAATACGTCCCTCAGTTTGAAGAGGACCTCCTTAGATTCCTTGAAGTGTGTCAGGATGCAACCAGAGGTCAAGACAAGCAGGGAGATCCACTGCAACCAGGTTAGATCTCTCTTGAACATGTACTGTGAATGGAATAGGAGGAATTAAATCCATAGTGAGCTTGATAATGAAATAGTAGAAGCCAACTTTCTGAGGCTAACCATCATGGGAGCAGGTCCCTAGACAGCTGAATTTGTCACTTTAAGGGAGGAAGTAGCTCCCGTACTACATTAAAGATATGTCACCTTGCACGACAAAATGACTGTAAAGTCACATTCTGCTCTTTCCAGTTTTAAAGTTTCAAAGTCAAATTTTAAAGTGGAGGTCAATTTTGGTATTTTTTCAAATTTGAAAGAGTAACCCTTTATTTAATTTTAATGTTGTTAGCAGGATCAGATATTTAAAAATGTCATTTTCTGAATAATTTAGATGATAGCATTATTTGTGCCCAGTCAGAAATGTTGAAACAATGTCAGAAATAATGCCGCCAATGCTGCCAGAAAAAAATTCCACATTGTCACCTCATACTTTTACCCGAAGTGTTCCATGTCATACCATTGAAAGCTCTCTTTCTGCTGATTTAAAAGATACCAATATCTCAATTTTTGAAAATTCCGACTTTTAGCTCATTCTGTGGTGACAGCTCACATATGTGCTCTAGAAAATTAAACAACTTAATACAAAGTGACAAAATAAAAAAAAATATGAGGGGTTACTGACAAATTTAATATACTGATGAATGAAGCAAAAAGATGATGGTCCTAGCTGTTGTTTCTGTTTAAATTAACAACACTGATAACTTACCGCTTAGACTTTGGCAGACTCGGATTGAAATCTTTAGCTGTAAATGCCATGATTGTGTCGTTATTTTTGCGATAAACCTAGGCTGCTTTTGAGAAGTGACTATTGAAAAAGCTATCTTGCGATCGATCAAAGTCCAGCAGCTTGCACGATACAGTGCACATGACCAACCCCTAACAAGTGCTAAGCAATGCTGACAGTCCAGCAACAGGCCTAGACTATGTACATGCACACACACTTAAAAAGGAAACTAATAACTGCAATAGGCAGTGTCCAAATCACTTGGTTGTGGCCACATCCAGTTCCCATAAAATTGTGTGTAGATTCCAACCACAGACGAGTGATTTGGACATGCCCTGTGCAAGACAGCAGTGAGATCGCGACACTGATACACAAAACGCACTGTGTGTGTGTGTACCTGCATGCATGTGAGCCTGCTGTGCTCTGTGACATCGTAAACAATTGTTCACATGTTGTGGTTCCATGACAAGGGTGATCTGAAGTAAAAAGTTCAGGAATTTTTCATGGCAAGAACAGAAACAAACGGGCATTAGTACTTGCACTTTACTTTATATTTAGGGGTGCATTTATGAGACAAATGGGCACTTTTTAGCTACCTGCACCTGCTAATTTCGAGCCCTGCAAGTGCCACTGAACAAAAGTGATGGGGTACCAACAAAAAAGTAACAGCTGACGTTTTCACTGATGCTATGTAGAAAATTAATTTGTTTTTCTGGTCCATCATAGTAATGCTCAGCTAACATACATGTAAGTTGCTGATGTAGTCTTTATTCACATTTCACTTAAAAGAGCAGGGTTCAAAGAACCAGGCTGATGTGAGGACTGCATTTTAGTTCCCACAGCAGCTATACTGGGTTTTCCCTCCCACCTGTAATGATAAACATTTCTTCACTGTCTTCTCTCCATAGCTTCAGTGCCATGGGTGCCTTTGAGGCATCTTTAGTTTCATTTCACCGGGAGCAAATTTAAGATAATTAATCAACAATGAAAATGTAAATTTTATGCAGTGTTCTGGAAAGCAGAAATGCAGAGCATTATCTGAAGATAATAAACTTTGCCACACTTAAATTTTGTCAGATCTACTACATTTTGTCTGCATTAAAAGACTGCATTTTCTGTGTGGCTGCATATCGGCAAAGATGAGATCGAAGCAAAGACGCAACTACACACCTGCTTCAATCATTCTTCATTTAACTAACATGAAGCCCCATAAGTTATCAACATTCTCCCTACGGGTCCCTGGGGAGGAGACAATGAAAAATGTTCAGCTTTAGAGGTGGGAGGAAAAACTGAGAGCCCAATCGATGCCATGGGCCTGCACCATGATGAGTGGAATTTGAACCCAGGTTACAAGAGGTAGTATACACGAAAACCAGTATTGTACCAACTTGACTCCCTTTCTACGTCTATGGAAACACGGTAGATGTGGGTTGTAGCATATTACCTGATACAAGACACCAGTTACAACAATGCTGAACTGGAGAAGTACTGCGTAGGTCGTAGGGTCAAAGTAGGCAAGATTCAGAAATGCCAGATTATTGAAAACAGAGTACAGGGCTGATGGAAGAAGGTAGAAGGCAAAACCTGCAACAAAATCAAGCAAATGAGAAGTTGTAAAAGTATGAGTTTTCTGAAAAAGGCCGAAAAGAATAAAACATTTCTTTTCAAATGCTTTGTTTGACGTTTGTGCTTCGTTGACAATCAAATCTACCAACACGTTTATGTTCATATGCAAGTAAGACTTCTGAATGAGAAACAGAGTGTTCATGATAACTAATTGATTACTGTTTGTATGTACTGCACATGTACATAGTATCGATATGAACCAATACGACCATAACATACATGTACAAGTCAATGTTGTTATAGCCATGGGGATGCAACTTTCTACGATTTTTTCATACCTGCCAACATTGGAAAGTCAAAAATAGGAACACAACTGGGAGCACAGAGCGCGAAGCCCTTACGGCGTGGGGTGTGGGGCCTGCTTGAGGACCCCCAGAAAATTTTGGATTCAATTCCTGGCACATTTCCCTTAGTTTGGCGAGGCAACAGTTTTTAAAAATTTGAAGAATTCCCTTGTCATTGTCTTCCCATACCTTGAGTTAAATACTTTCTTTAAACAGAACATATCTACATCTCAGTACCCCTTGGAACTTAATGCTTGAGACGGTCCCTCTCTGCATCCCCATGGAATGGCTGATATGTTGCCTCAAATCTTGCAGAATGCGAAAAACTCACCCTTACATGTAGTTATGAATTGGAACTGCTCTTTGTATTCGTCCCTAAATCTTTGCGTTTTTGCTTCTTATCCTTATCGCTCTACAAACTTGTTACCTCCCGCAACAATTCTCTATTTAAACCGAGGTTACACCACCTGACATGCCTGATCACGACTACACGCGCGCAAAGGAAAGTCACGTTAGATGCGAGCGTTGCTACACAAAATGGCAACTGATGAAAAAAACAGCCAATGGCGCCCTCTTTTTTTCCTGTGCATTGGCGCCCTCTTTTGCCATGACTCTTTAAGTTTTTAATTTCTGTTTTTCTATTTTGTTTGAAATCGGAATGTTCCGATTTTTTGCGGTCTGTTAACTAAAAATCAAGACAATTCGGATTAAATCAGAATGGTCCCCACAACTCTTCATACATGTTAGACTGACAATTAGGCCATTTTGACACCTAGGTTTTGCTGTGCAACTGCACATGTAATAGCAGAAACATTCAGTAACTTAGAACATCTTTAAATTCAGGCAAAGTCGGACACCCAATTCTTATTTGCTGGCTACAACCCTGACACAGGTAGTCATATCGCAGTGAGAATTTTGAGTTGTTGCTTTTTTGCTTCTTTGCCTTCTATTTTTATCTGGTTATTGGCTAAGAGATAAAAATTAGCACTAAAAATTTATCTCCTTGGCCTATCACTGCACAAATTTCTCTCTCAAAACTTTGTGTAGTGCATATCCCTGTACCTGCAATAACTCACCTGAGTTGTTTGATTGCAGATCTGTGATCAGTTTAGCAAATGAATACCTGTTGGAAATTGATATATGCAAAGAAACAAGGAAAACATTGCATGTATAATTTGGAAAAAACACTTGCTAGGTACGCCAAAGTTCAAGTTAACATCACATGGCCTCCACTTTCTGTGGAAACTGCAACAGCCATTACACAGCCCTTCGTGTTTGTCAATGCTGTTGAAAATTCCGCTCTCCCCGAAATTGAGGTTCCCCTCTAAACATGAGCAAGAGTTCCAGTTTTTAACATGTTCTCCAGCCGACTGTAGTAGCCCCACCAGTGAACTTGTTTTGGATCTGCTGTAAACATTTAGTGAATTGCAAGTTTCCCACAAAAACCTCCATAAAGTGAACTTTACAATGGATTTACCGAGAAGGAATCGACTTCAGGTCCAACAACCACCATACCAAACTTTAAAACTAATGAAGTGAGCATACAAAACTTTCCTTTACTTGAGGCAGTAGAAGATAACAGCAACCATAAGTTTGAAGAGCTCAATCAGCAAAGTCACCAGGACTGTACTGTAGCTGTAACCATCTTGTTCATCTTTAGTGAGCACTATCAACAGATCTAAACAATACAAGAGGATTAAAAAGCTTACGACTTAAAAAGGATTTCAGTTCATGGCCTCCACAAGTCATTACATAAAAACCAAATCAAATCCGGCATCTGGTGTAATTTGTACAATAGGGGTTCACCGTTGTGGACTCTACAGCTCAAACACTGTAATTACTATGTGTAACTCAATGCAGAAATTTTGTTGAAGTACGGTACCTGTACAAAGAACGAGTAATTAATGTATAGCATCAAGCATGGTCAGATTCAGGTTAAAGCTGACGGCACCTTCTCAGGAGACCTCTTTCATTCCTCGTTATCTCCCCCCCCCTCTTTCTCTTTTAGCACACCTCAATATTGAGGGTTGCTAGGGCAATATGGTAAATATGATAATAAAATTCCCGAGGATGAAATTCCTTTTGGCATACTGACGGTTGGCACAGCTACCAATGACATCTGACTGTTAATTATCAACGTGATCAATGACTTTTCCCCCAAGGCAAGATCTTGACCTATAGCACGCTTAGCAGAGGATTCATCAGCAAGAAAGAGAGAAGAATGATGTCCAGACTCAAGAATGACTTACTGTTGTTGACAAAAAGTGTGATGTATGCCAAAAACACCAGCCAGCTTCCACAGTCGACAAGGCCTAGCATCATTGACTCGTGAGATAGGGTTTCCAAAGAGAGGTCAAGGACCCGAACCAAATAAGCAATTGCCAATGGCCTTTTGTTATCACAGTCAGGATTCCGATGCTATGCATCTGAAGCCATCTTGCTTCTACACAGGATTAAACAAAAATTGAAATTAATTATTGATTTTACCATTTCAAACAAATTACAAAATCGACCTGATTCGACTACCCACCCTGTGTTATTAAATAGGGCTTCTAAAGCAAAATGATGCGTTCAAAGAGAGGGACGCGTACCAGTTAACAAATATATTATCACACAATGGATCCAAGCTATTAAGTGAAACTGAAGTATATGAGGCACTGAAGTGAGCATTTTTCCTCTTTAACACAAAATTCAAGGCAACAAATTTGGGCAATCAATTAAAGAATCTTTCAAAATTGACAGTTTCCAACATGTGACAGATTGAAGGAAAAAAATCACCCTCTACGATTCCAACCACAGACGTCCACAATACTTAGTATCCATACAAGTTAGCTGGAATAAAATCCCTCTTTCTTTCCTTTGTATTCACAAACGGCCAGTGGCTCTTCATTAACCTCAGCTGGAAAAACTAAAATAGGACCTGCTTGTGGTCCACCAAGATGCAAATTTGATGTAGTTACATCCACCTGTGACATTTGTGTTGCAGTCTGCTGGACACAAGATAAAACTATAGGTAAAGGTGGAACGCTATTGAAACCACTTACATGTAGTATGCTAGCAAAGTATTTAAAGTGCTACCTTTAACGTTAAATAGCTGCCAGGGGAGCCCCCTTAATTTTTTTCATATTACCAACCTGCACTTTTTTTTTTTTGCATATTGCGCCTTCAGGAGTTTTTTCAGTAACTTCTTGCGTCACTTTAAAGTTAAGTTTTAAGACAGCTGGGGAATCAGTTTTGTGACAGCTCGATCAATCGTTTATGGGTTTGTCCATACTAAAAAAACACATTTGCACATAACCAAAATCATTTCTCTTAATTAAACAGTGTTCTGGTGTTGAGAGTCAAGAAACGAACTTTAACAATATTACTGATGTTTGTATGATTGTAGAGACACTGTTTACACAGCGATTTGGTTGTTAGTTGTTAAAATAATCACGATTTTGATGAAAATGTCCGGCTTATATTAGGAGTTCCAGTGGGACCAAAATACCACTCTCACAGACAAAAACAATTCATCTGTTAAAACGTGGGTACTGCAGGTATAACATTAAACAGAAAATTAAACAGGAAATCTTAAACAGGAATTTAAGGAGAGCTAATTAAGGAATAACGTACGTCACGGTGTCTGTCCACAGAGTGACAAACATGAAAAAGACTGAGTTTGCCATTCCTTGAGCAGATAACCGCAACAAAACTATATACTGTATCTTCTTGAGAAAGTGTTTACAATTTAGTTTACATCATATTTGTGGGTTTTTTTTATCAGACAACAAAACTAAGATTTGATTTTAGGAATTGGAGATGTCTGTCCACTATTTTGTAACGTCACAACTACATGTATTTTTTGCTTTAAATGTAGAAATCTTAGATTTATCTTATTAGTACATATACATTTATTACAAAGCCAAATGAAATACAATAACATCTCACGAGGAAAAATAAGTTCATTTTGCTGAAATGAAAATGAGAAGACTGTCTGTCCCGAGGTTATGATATGTGATAAATGTTACATCTGTCCATGTAACAAACGTTACTTACTAAGGGAAACTTAAATAGTATTCATTTTAGCTGAAGTTTAATAGTATTTTTAACAAAATAATCTTGAAAACTGAAAACAAACTAGTTTGGTTTGTGAACAATTGTGTTCTCATGCTCTAATTCAAGCACCAGAAAAATGTCTGTCCAGTGCCAAATGTTACATTTCTTTTAAATAAATTTTTTTGTTATCTACACTGGAACTGTTTTTATGAGATAATGAAAGTTTCTAAAAGTTAACTAAACAGTATTTAACACATTGCAGGTAATTTTCAATTGTGCTTTAAATTTAATTTTAAGAATTTTAAATTTAAGAAACAAAGTGTCTCTCCAGTGTCCATGTGACAAACGTTATATCCTCAAGAATAAACTTCTGTAATTTCTCAAATACTGCTCATTTATCTTTACCTTTCAATGGTAACAGTCAGAAATAGTGAAGTCATAATAATGGTAAAATTTTACAGTTTGAGATTTGCACTGAATGTTGTGCAAATGTGTCCTTTACAGTAGTTTGGACAGACCCTTACTGATAAACTGTTCGTGATGCTTGTGCAGATACAATGCCATACATGTACATGTATCTACAAAATTTGTAAGTCACACTGCGGTTACTATACGTAACCATGGAGGAAGGAATAGACATACAAATACATGTGTACACTAGCTACTAAATTTTACAAATGCACAAGCATTAAATGAATTTTCTTACAAATTTGTACCGTCAGTTGGGTTTGTGAGTAGAGGTAGTAATAGTCGATTACAATTTGTCAACTTTAATGAAATTCTTACATGTGAATGTGGAATTTTCTGAGATTTGTTCAAGCGCAAAACGTCACTGATTAGGGAATAGGCCAATGGAATTTCAAGATGCTGAAATTGTTCAAAAAGGGTTGAGAGCTTGTTTTCTGAAGGTATAAGACAGTGCTGTTCAGCCATATCTTGACTCTTGTGCACATTTTATTATTTTACCTCCTGAGTTGATTATCCTACATGCATGGTAGTGATTATCCTATGGTGGTGATTATTCTATGAATGTATCTCATTCAAAGGTAAATCCATTTAGATGGAGAGCACTAAATTCGCGCAAGATACAAGCTGACAAGATCGTGCTGACCCTACCAGCAGGATCTGACAACGGACCTCCATGATCTACATGTATGTAACTGAATGAAATTTTTAAGTTTACCAGCAAAAAGGTTTGGCAACACCAACACACTGTTTTACAGTCTAGAAAGGTGTGCCATTTGCCAGACACACCACAAATTGCCAGACAATATGCTTTTGCTGCTGTACCTGAAAAGCTACTGAACATGCATACTACACGTACCTTCACCCAGCACTGCCTGTGTGATTGTATGGGACGGCGCATGACAGGGGTAACCATAATCCAGTATTGTCTCCTACGACTATGGTTTCGAGTTTGATCAAGCGTTTGAGGCAGCGTTGGAGAGCCGTAGCCAGTGTTTGATACTTGTGCATGCCGTAGTCTCACACGGAGACACCGCACCACGTGTTGCCAACATACAGTGCAATGTAAACGTTGAAAATATTTCTTGTTGGGGTTTTCCTGAAGATACACACCATATATATATTGCAATGGGCATTGGCAATGAAACACATGATAAAGCCAAAAGTAGAAATGTTTTTCAAAGTGATATTGAGCCATTTTATACAACATCGTCATTAGAAGCCAGTATCGATCCTTGACAATGTCACAAACTGATTTTTATCAACACCATTAAACCCTATTAATTCTAAACTATTGGAATATCAAGTGGACTTTTGGTTACACACCAAATCGCTGTGAAAGAATCAAATCAAAGCAAACAAGATTTCTAAGTTCACGAATCTGGCTTTAAAATAAAAACCTTTCTGAGCTAATGACATCAGGATGACCTTTAGTTCAACGCTAGCTTCATCATTACGTGTTTCACATTCTTGTGAACACCCTGGTCGCAAGAATATATTGATTTGTTTTACAGGAAGAAAGGGAATAAATGAATTTTCACTGATCGAAAAGGCTACGGCATTATTTGATTACGCTATTAATTCTGTCAGTGCATGGAGGAATAAAACACATGGTCAGTGTCAGACGTCCTGTTTCCATCACGAAGCTCGCTGGCGTTAAGTGTATGACCATGAACAATAAGCAAAACTCAATTGAGAAAGGAAGCATACGTGTCCGGGTGATATAGTGAAGACTGTCGTGTTCGATTTCCTTGATGATAAAAAAAGAATACCTTTTAGCAAAGTATAAAGCATGGAGGTAGGATCACATAATGCAAGGACCTGTCTATGAGCAAAGCTATGCAACAGTCGATTACATGTACATGTACATGTACGTTCTCATCACAAGGACATTCGTAATCCGCCACAAGGTGCGCCCTCTGTTGGTGACTGTAAAAACTGAAAGCCCCCACCGCACGAAAACGACGGCCGGGGCGTGCAGCGATTTCCAGCATGACCACCTGCCCAACAAAATAATTATGTTCCTGCATAAAGATGTTACGCCAACACTTCCAATTTATACGCAAAATATATTAAATAGGTCACACACTGACATTCGTACACTTGATTCAATGTTCATTTCATATTATGTCGCCTTTCGGAAATTTCCTGTGGAAGTTGTGGGGTTCTGCGGCCGCCAAAATTGCGTCGCGTCGTTTTCGCGTTCCGTACGATATACTAGCCCCAACACCACGACGCTACGACGGTTTCGTGAGCGTCGTGGTGTCGTTTGTCGTATCGTGCCGCCGTGCCTTACTGTTTCAACGAATTGCTCGTGATTACTAAGGCCAGTAGAGGATGTATGTCACAAGTCCTGGAAAAAAATAATGTGCGTGCACAGGGTTGCATATTACACCAAATATAATACGCGCCCATAGAAAACAGCGCAAAATTAAACCAAAATAGTGCCGCCTGTTGACTCCGGAAGGAGTTGTCCTCTTTTTTTTTCACTTGAAATTCAAGATTATAGTCAGAAGATCACTTTTCTTTTCAATTTTATGGGGGTGGGTTAGCCACGTAGATTTTTTTGAATTCGCCTTTCCTCGAAGAAACCCAAAAAATTATACGTTCAGCTCTGAATGTAGCCGGGCCGTCCGCCTCTATCTTATAAACTAGGCTTTTTTGTGGTAGAAATACGCCACTGGCAGACGTGGAAACTTACCGTTCCCAAATTCGGGATTTGTAGAAATATTTCAATGATCCGTCCTAATTATGGCATGTCTTATTATAAAAGCCCAATGGGATCACAAAATATTAATGAGCTCCCAGAAATCGAACGATGTGAGGGAATGCACCGATAGGCCCTGTGAAAGATTTGATCATCATGAAAAATGGATTTATAATATTGGTATTGAACTTAACTCCGCCTCTAAGGGCGTAGATACTGGTATCAAAAGATACTGTGTGGGCACTTTTAATGCTAATGAGCTGGCCAGAAATTCTCACTTGAATTAATGGTCTGCACCCACAGAAATCTGTGCAAAGTCAGACCGAAATAGCGCCGCCTGCTGACTCTTGGGAAGAGGTTGAAAAGTTTTACAAACACGCTCAACCTATCTTTTGAACAAGGAGATTGTTTGGCCTCCAAAATGGTGAGATTGTGTAAATCATTGCCAGGATGAACTCCCCGGGCCTTTGAGTTTTCATATGAGAGCAGAATGGCTAAAAACTACGGTTGGAAAATGGTCCTAAGTGGCCGAGAAAGTTGAGGGTTGCCACTGGAAAAATGACTTCGGAAAAATCACTTTGGGGGGGGGTGATTTTGTTTTGTGGGAATAATTAAAAATGTAGTGGGGGAAATGGACAGTTGTGGAGCCCACCCCCTTTTCCATCGTTTTCAGCAAAAACTCCTGGGTAGTACATATACATCGACTCAAAAAATCGGGGAAATCCCCTAAAAATCTGGAATTCCAGATTTTAACAATTTTCCCTGGGTACCTCATCGCCCCCAAAAATCGGTTCCAAAAATACCGGGTATATATTCACCTTCTGAGCCAAAACACCCTTTCACCCACCAACGCCGGGGATTTCCACTGACCTTGAACTCTTGACCCCGGCGCACTTTTCCTGTAAACAACTCGTGACCAGCACCGATCGCACCAACAATCACTCACAAACAAAAAAGGGACTTCCCGTCGCTACAAGTCGAGACTTGCCCGTTATAAAAAACGAAAAAAAAATAAATAAATAAACACTACATAAAAATAAATGGTAGATCAAACTACAAACGCGAATTGTTATTTTTGCAAAGACACGAGAAATTCGATCGACTTGATAGATTCGTACGATTGCTTTCGTTGTTTAAATTCCGAAAGTTTATGCAAAATGCACCGATTGTAAAGAATGCCACAGTTGTCACCAATGTAACGACTGCACCAGATGTAACGACTGCTCCACCTGCGACGATTGCGGTAAATGTATGAATTGCGTGGCTTGTTTTAATTCATGCGACTGCTGAAATTCAAATGCCTTGGACAGTTGCGAGGACTGTTACGAGTGCGCCCATTGTATCGAGTGTTTTGGTTGTACGCATTGCACCTGCTGCGTAAATTGTGTCGCGTTGGAAGGAATGGATCACGTGGTGCTCGTAGACGGCAAGCATAAAAAGCTGTGGCACGCGCGAGAGAATGAGCCACTCCCCGATTCAGCGACTAAACTCGACGCTGATTTGTACAAAATTGGACTAATTATTAAATACGACGCTGAGGTCGAACATTTAATTAAAGTAGAAATCCCACCCGAGTTATAACTGAGGTTAATTTTTTTCCTTAAATAAATGAACTATTAATAAAGATGACTGATGCGGAACTTTGTCACTTGCTGAATCTAAAGGAAATACACATAGCAGGATCTCAAAAACAAAGTAAACCGAGGCCCCCTTGTAACCACCAAATACTTGAAATAGACGAAAGATACGCTTGTAAAGATTGCGGTCTAATTTTTGGGTGGGTTTCTTCGTACACCCCTGTAGACATGGGAGATCGATATTATAAGCATCACGTTTGGAAAAAGCGCCACCACCAAAATCAAGAAAAACCTAACAAAAATATAACATTTGCTTTAAAACGGCGAAGCGGGTGAAATAGAATATAAGTTAAACCAAGTTTTAAACGGTAAGATCTCTAGATGTAAACCGTTGAAGGCTTTAATCGCGGTGTGTTATCAAGAGACAACCGGGGAAACCGAATCTCAAGTGAAAGGTCTATTTCAAGTTTCGGATAAGCACTGGGAGATCGCCCTCGACAAATTAAACCTCGCCAAACAAGACCTATAGATTGACCAAACAAGAAACGTATATAATAAAATGGAGACTCACACGTTTTGCTTAACCGAGAGCGAGCAGACATTTAAATTGAGAGATGTCATCAACAACACCAAAGGCGACAAGGTCGTCCGAGTAAAGAATATTCAGTTTGAAGCTGGATATTTTAACGTAACAAACGCCACTGAAATTGAGTGGGATACAAACTTGGACGGTAGGCCCGCAGGGGTACTTGGCGAACGACCGCCCGGAATACCCTCAGAGGAAAGAACGGAAGTATCTCCCAATTCAGAATTAGTACAAACAGCTAAAAACAGATTGATCCAAGCAAATGAAAGAGGCAATTTAGTGGAAGAAATTAGAATCATCGCTGATGAAATTGAGCAGCTAAACCAAGAAATCGCAACCTTAGAAGATCAGTTAAACCAAAGACAACCATTAGAAACGCGAGCTCGTTTAGCTTTTGATATCAACAATAAAAAAGTAAAATCAGCTTCACTGCTCGAGGGGCAAAGACAAGCTTTAGATGAAATTTACGAAGGGAATCCCCGACTCGACCTACTACCAACTTCCCCGTAACACCCGCGAGACCCAGAAGAGAATTAACTAAAAGACTGTTTTTGACGGGGCTATTAAACTGAACCTATATACGACAGACTTCATTCGCGAAGCTCATCTCAACCATTAACCGGGGGCCAAAGAGGAAGCATCGTGCTATCCCCCGGTTATTATAACATGGACTGGTTTCACTTTTTGTTAAACTCGATTCCGGGCGTTTCTTTTAAGGTTCACTCAGAATCTAAACAGGTGACTTTGGCCATTACGGACCCCAATCTCAAGTTGCGACTAAATAAAGAAGTGTCCAAGCTACTGAACTTACCCAAAATAAAACTTTTACCCAACGTTATTTGCGAAGGCAAGTACGATTTAAACCCATTGAAACTCGCGTTTATTCATTGCAAACAATTAAATATATTTTACAATTTTTATAACGGCCAGTCTTTAGACTTGCTGTACGTAACAGCTACCGAGCCTCGCACCTTAACAACCGTGACGTGTGAAACGCCTAAAAGTTAATCGACAGGAACATCAGTGAATTGACTTTTTCTGTTAAAAACGATCGAGGTGAGCTCTTGAATAACATCGGCAAAATTTTAATCGAGTTAGACATTTTTTTTAAAACGCGTAATTATAAAAGTAATATTATGATAAAGATGACGACTAACATTTACCCAAATTTGACTTTAAACTCGGCTGAACAAGCGGAAACCAAAATTTAGAAAGATCGAAGATATTAAATCCCAAATCCAAAGAGAACGCGACGCACGCGAAGCTAGCTATAAAAAGATCAAACGGCTTTTAACCGCACTCGGATACGTGGAGTACGGCGTGGAAGCCCTGGGCGCGACCTCGGCAGCCGTTGGCTTTCCCGCCATTTTGGGAGTCGTTACCGGACCCGTCGGACTTGTGATGGAAGGCATCGCTATTGGTGCGTTTGGTGCTTACGCGGTTCTAAAGTATGCCTCCCGTAGACTCACCCACAAAACTAAAAAACACGACCAAATTCGAATGTTGGCAGACGCAAAATTAAACGCCATCAAGGAATACGTATCTCACGCGATTGAAGACGGTGATATATCCCAGGAAGAATTTGTACTTATTTTATCCGAGCTGAAAAAGTTTAACGAAATGAAAGAAAAGATCAGATCGAGTACGTCTACAAAATTGCAAGCGAGCGAAGCGAGCAGCAAAGAAGAAATCGAACGCCAAGTCAACCAAAGAGCAGAAGCGCTAGCCAACGTACGGGCGGCCGTTTTAAAAAAAAGATCTTATGAAAAAACTTGGCGAATAAGTTTTACAAAGTCGGCCCGATATCAAGACCCACCACCCGCTTATCGAGAAGCGACCCAACCGACAGCCCCTCCTTTTAAAAGTCTTTTAAAATAAATGGGAACCAACTTTAGTCAGTTAAATATTGTAGTCAACAGAGACAACTCTTTTACAGTAAACTTTATCGACATGACAACAGCTTACAAATTACCAAAAGTTACTACGGACGAAGTTATAGAACGCTGGAAAGAAGACCAGATGTCGTT